ATCCATCCATCCATCCATCCATCCATCCATCCATCCATCCATCCATCCATCCATCCATCCATCCATCCATCCATCCATCCATCCATCCATCCATCCATCCATCCATCCATCCATCCATCCATCCATCCATCCATCCATCCATCCATCCATCCATCCATCCATCCATCCATCCATCCATCATCTTTACCCGTTTCTTCCTTTTCAGGTCGTAGGGGGGTCACTGGTGCCCATCCCATGTCCAGCAATCACTGTGAGAGGCAGGGTACACACTGGATAGGTTTCCAGTCCATCACAGGGGCACATAGAGACAAATGAGACAAACAAACCATTCACCCTCTCTCTCACCTAGGGACAATTTAGAATTACCAATCAGTCTAACATGCATGTTTTTGGTCTGAGGAAACTGGAGTACCTGGAGAAAACCCACACATGCACAGAGAGAACATGCAAAGTCCACCCAGAAAGGCCCCGGCTGGGATTTGAACAGGGGTGATCTGTTCGTGGAGAGGCGGCAGCTTTACCAACTGTGCCACCGTGCTGCATCAGTTTATATTGTAAACATTTGGGAATTTGGATTGATGGTGCTCTGTCCTTTTCACATCATGTTAATGTTTTGCAATCTAAGGTTAAAGTGAGACTTGGTTATCTAGATAGAAATCGATCTTCATTGGCTGCAAAACACACCATTGTTGAAAAAACTGTCCTACCACTGGGATTATGGAGACATAATTTACCGACATGTAAAGGTTGTGTTCTCATGTTCTCATATTGTGACACGTGTTGTGTCCTTCGTAAGCTGGACGCAATTTATCACTCTGCTATTCACTTTGCTACACAAGCTCCTTATAGATTATTATATCATTATACCTCATTGTTACTTATTACTACTACTCTACTCTGTCGTTAGATGGCCTTCTCTACATACTCGTGAAATTCATTGGTTTACCCTCATTTATAAGACGTTGCTTGTTATTCACCTACATATTAAACTTTAAGTTTGTTGATTCCTACAAATATTGGGTATCTTGGTCGACTCGCATCTTTCTTTTAAGCTTCACGTGGAAAACTTGGTAAGGAAACTGAAAGTTAAATGGGGTTTCTTTTTCAGAAATAGATCCTGTTTAACTCTGAATGTTAGGAAACACCTTATAACTGTGACTTTCCTTCCCTCCACTGACTACGATGACATTATTTACATGACCGCTCCTACAAGAACCCTGCAGATGTTGGATGCTGTCTATCATGGTGCACTAAGATTCATAACTGGCTGTGATTATCGTACCCACCACTGCACCCAGTATTCACTGGTTAACTGGACATCATTAACTTCACACAGACTCTCTCACTGGTACATTTTCATCTTTAAATCTCTTCTTGGTCTGTTGCCTTCATACATCTCCTACATGTCACTGCGTGAGTGCAGCTACAGCGTGCGCTCTCAGGACATTATTACCTGCAGTGTTCCCTCAGTGTGGACTGAACTTGCCAAATTTCTGTTTCCTGGAATATCTTACAAAAAGATCTGAAGCTCTTGACCTTGACCTCTCTAAGTGACTTCAAACATCTGTTAAATTCCTGGCAAGACCCAATGCAGACATGTTCCTGTTTTTAGTTTTCTACACCGCCTCGTAATCTAGCTATTTTTTTTGCTACGTTTCTTTCTCCTTTTAATTATCATTTTGTTTTCAATTGAAAAAACAAAACTTCAATTTGTATGAATAATTTGTGAATGTCTATTGTTATCATTGCTATCCACTGTTAACACTCTGTTAAAATCCAGGTCTCTCTTGTAAATGAGTCTTCGTGGCTCAATGGGACTAACCTGTTTACATAAAGGTTGAATGAAAACTAATCAATCTACTGCAACTAGCACTGGTTTCAACCTATAACAGCGGATCCTCTCAGTATTTGTGGTTAACCACTCTAAAGACCAGGTCTAACTTGACCTCTGCTGCTCCATGTGACTGCATCTACTTCATGAAACTTTGAGTCTGGCTTCACTTGTTTCAGTTTTTAGTTTTTACAATAGTTTAAAAGCCGTTTTTAAAGATACTTGCAAATGTTTTCATGTTTAATAATGTTGTCATTTGTTATTGACTACTGTGTTTTATAGTTTTGCCCAACTGTACTGTTTCACTTCCCTTGAGCCAACAAGTTGGTGCTGCCAGGTCAACACTGTAAATAAGAATCTGTTCTCAGTGTTTATGCCTAGTTAAATAAAGGTGAAATGAAAATGTTCTGCTTCTCATCTGGAAGGCTTTCTGAAGGCTTTTCAACAGCATGGAGCCGAGCTTCCACTTCAGACACCCTCACCTTCAACGCTACCATACATTTACATTTATTACACTGAACATTATCACAAAAAGAGGCAGAGGTATAAGTAAAACTCTCACACAGTGAGAACAGAATACATGCCAAGTTAATTTGTGACCAGAGCCAGTGGACCCCCAATACACACATAAAACCAGGAAATGTTGAAAAACAAAAGGTCTCTCAAACACAAAGCAATAGTAGAAAATAAGTGTAAGAGTGGTTATGTACCACCACACAAAACTGTGGAGGTCAGATAAATTCTGTCAATCAAAAGATTCCAACAAAACAAAATCTTCCAGCTATCAGCAGGAAAAACAGGAAGTGACACGATACACCTTGTGAACATCAGCGTGTCCAAATTAAAGTTTATCAGAGTTCCAAAGTTCCATGATGTTTATTTTGACTGTAGCTGAGCAAAACAGGCTTTTCTGACATTTACTTTACAAACACTTAGATTCATATTTTATTTTGCAAGACCAAACAAAGTTTAGTGTCCATCATCCATCCATCCATCCATCCATCCATCCATCCATCCATCCA